AAATTGGGATAGCATCTAGCTAACACTTCTGGGGTAAAATTCCATCAATGAAACATTTTAAAAAGATTTTCTTTCATCGTCGTTGCCTTCATCCTTCTCATATTTTGCCACATTTTTTCCCATTTGGTCCATTCAATGTTATGACCAAAATTTCTAGCCCAGGAGATCATTGACACTTTTACTTCTTCATCTTGCATTTTTTGGTCCAACAAGAGATTATAAAATTTACGGATAAGTTTATCTTCTGGACCCATCAGTATCTTATCCATTTCACCATATTCCATATATATGCCTATCTGTTTATCTTTCTGATATCTAGATGTAAATTGATTCCTCTCCCACCAGGATACGCTAATTCCTTTAACCTCAAGCTGGTTCTGGGTTTTTAAATTTCGATTTATATCTAAGCACTCTCTATAGGTAACATATATATAGTTGCTTGATCAAAAATAGGAGATGCTTTTCGAAAGATGAATTATTCAGTTTGTCCCATGGTCTGCCTGGGCACCGAGTCAAAAGCTGTTGTAAGGTCTATGAAGGCAACAGCTAGCAATCCATCTTTTGAGCTAGTATACTTGTCAACACAAACCTTTACATCATAATAAAAAGTAGAGAATTCACCCTGCCAACAAAAGTCCGTATGGTCAAAGCAATGGTATTCCCAGTAGTACTGTATGGCTGCGAGAGTTGGACTATCAGGAAGGCTGAGCGCCGAAGAATATATTCTTTTGAATTATGGTGCTGGAGAAGACTCTTGAGAGTACCCTGGACTGCAAGAAGATCAAATCAGTCGATCGTAAAAGAAATCAACCCTGACTGTTCCCTGGAAGGCCAGATACTGAAGCTCACATACTTTGGCCACCAAATGAGAAGGGAGCACTCACTGGAGAAGACCCTGATGCTGGGAAAGATTGAAGGTCAAAGAAGAAGGGGACAACAAAGGATGAGATGACTAGACAGTGTTATCGAGGCAATGAACATGAAATTAAGCTCTGAAGCACGACGGAAGACAGGAGGGCCTGGCGTGATCTGGTCCATGGGGTCGTGAAGAGTTGGACTCAACTGTGGGACTGAACAATAACAACTTGTCAACAATGAATTGGAGAGTGTAACTGTGATCAACTACACTAAATGTCCAGAAACTGGAACCATTTGATTGGAGTGAAGGGACTTTCATATGATCTGGTGTTCTGGTAAACTTAACTTTGAGAATTATCTAGAACAGATGTGTCAGACGTGTGACCCGCAGGCCGTATCAGGCCCGTGATGGGCTGCAATCCGGCTCAAGAGCTGCTGATTCTGTCTTGCTTCCAGCTTCCTGCTTCCCATGTCGTAATTCTTTCTGGGCAGTCTCTCCTAGTTCCTGCTTCATACGAGATAAAGAAAGCCTTCTCACAATTGGCTGAGGGCTCCTCCCCCCCTCCTCTGGGGAGGGAGGGGAAGAGTCAGAGAGAGGCGAAAAAATGGCATCTAAGACCAGCAACGTTTTATTCCAGGTAGAAGCACACTTTTTCTTCAGAGGATGAGAAGGAAAGAAGGGGAGGGAGCCAGCCAGCCAGGGGCAATATGCCAGAAAAAGAGAGAAAATCCTGTGTTGAAGACCAAAAATGTTTTATTCCAGGTATTGGAGGGGGGGTAGTCCTGTGTTAAAGACCAAAAAACGTTTTATTACAGGTATGAAAGAGAGCGCACATCCCATGGCATTTGGAGAGATCTCCCTTTCCATTTCTAACAGATTGGGGGGGGGGACCTAACAGCACAGCTTGCATTCCTTATTAGTGAAAGGGAACAAGAGTCCATGGGCACCTTCAAGACTAACAACGTTTGTGGCAGGGCACGAACTTTCATGAATCACTGTTCACTTCCTCAGATACAGCTGAAATGTGAGTCCATCTGTCTTTATATCCTGGAGAGTGAAGTGACTTCAGCCACCAAAAAGACCTCCCAGCAATGCTCTCTCTAAGCTGTGGAGTCCTGTGAGCAAAAATTCTATTTTGTGAGCTGCTGGCATTAAAGTTGTGAGCGAATGATTTGGCTACTGCATAAATTAGTTTGCTATGGAGCCATCCTTCCTGAGCGAAGGCAAAAATGTGTGAGCTGGAGGCTAACAAACTGTGAGCGCTCACACTAACTCAGCTTAGAGGGAACACTGCCTCCCAGTATATCAGAATCAGTACACACAAACTGGGGAAGTTGCTATCAATTGCAAATTAATTATATTGAAAGTGTACAACAGATAATACAAATTACAAATCTGAACAATGATACAAATCTGAAAGTTATTACATATCCAAAGGTTATGCAGGTCCAAAGATTAGGTCCAAAGATTTACGAAGAGTCCAGCTTCAACTTTGTTTCGGGGGGAAACTTCATCAGAAGTGATTAACACCATGCGAGGTGTGATTATTTCTTGTAATTCTAGTAAACAGGATATTCTTTATGCTGTTATGCAGTTTTTATCTGGGACTATTCCCTGTGTTCCATAGCTTTAACCACTTCTTATTAATGGGCAGACCTCGGTGACAATATGTTTTAAAAGGGAGAGGCTAGAAATAGAGGGTAAAGCAGGGGTTTGTAGCTATCTTTCTGTGAAATTATGCTCAGTCTGGTGATTTCTGTCTTTGCTGGCTTTTGATCTTTTTGTTGAAAATGCCCCCAAACTCCTTTTCTGGGCCTCCTTTGACAGGTCAGTTTGGAATTGGTCTCTGCCACCGGGATGGGGTAAAGATCAACGAAGTGGAGGCCTGATGACAATGAAATGATAGCATTAGCTTATTATTTTTGTTTATTTTGAAACCATTAAAAAAGGCTGGGTTAATTTTAATGAATATTTGTGGCAGCCTTAATGTGTTAGCACTTTTCTGGTTGTCTAGCTATAACCCAGCATGAAATGATTTGTAAAAATGTCTGGACAAGTGTTAAAGGCAGATGACGAGAGACAGTTTTGTGTGTATGCCTGCTATGCATTTCTGATTATTGTAATGAACAAGTGTGGGCCTGCTATACTCATAGGGGGATTCCCTCCCCCCACTTTCGTGCTGGGCCCAGCGCAACTCAAGGGTTTTGCCGGGCTCAGCATGACTCACAGGTTGCACTGTTGCTGGTGGTGGCAGCTGCTGGGCCCAGCAGAGCTCCCAGGCTGCATGGTGGCTGCCGGGCCCAGCAGGGCTTTTAAACTGCACCACTGCTGGGCCCAACAAGTTTCCTAGGCTGCATCTCTGCCACTGTGCCAAACAAGGCTCTACTGTCCCACCAATGAACTCTAGAGGTACTTTACTTTGGGGGGGGGGTTACTCCCCCATGTAGTTTTTAAAATATTTTTCTGCAAACCTGGAAGTCTCCCAAGTGTGAAAAAAGATCTGTTTAGCCCCCATGTGACCCCGATCCACAAATTTAGATATCTATAGATGGGGGCTGTGTGTAGGTGATCGTATATATAGATTGGATAAAGAAAAAGATAAACACTAGGCCATTTTGACTTGGGCCAAACTGCACATAACCTCAGGGCAGTGGAGGAAATAGTGCAAAGTATGAACATGAAACCAGCAGTCCATCTTCTTTTTCTCCTCTGACAGACCTTAAACGTCAGGTGATCACTTAAGGGTATGACTGATGATGCCAGGACAAACCACACAGATTAATTATATTTGAATGTATCTCTTGAATTTGCATATCTTTCCTATATATACAGGGTTCAGACAACTGGACTTTTCTTGGTAATAGTAGAATATAAACTTTATGCTGTGACTCTGAGGCAGTACTTCAATCTGTCTTCCTACTGCTAAATGCAGTGATGCTTTTCATCCCTGGTGGGTTGATAGACATCTCTCTGCTTTTTGCTTTGGCTGAAGCAAGAATCTCAGCAGTGTTAAGCATTCTGGCAGCATCTCCCTTTATTGTTCTACTGATCTACTTATTTTGTAGTTGAGGAAAATACAGTAGATGAGCATGGGTGGCCTATTTTGGAGAAAATTTGAACAGTTTTCCTGATTGAGGAGGTTGCATTTTGACAATGCCTTGGTTGCATATGGTATTGTAAAATCCAGATATATAGGCAGAATAGTCTTCCATTGCTACTTGCTAATGTCTTCATAAATGGATCCTTTCTCTCCTGTAATTGCTTAATATTTTCAGAAATAGCCTAAATTCTGCCATAGTTAACACTTTACTTAGAAGCTTTAACTAATTAACACTTCTAGTTAATGCTTTAATTAGAAGACGCAGCTGGGACTTACCCCATTGCCACTTTTGTGGGCTCAGGGGGAGCAGGCGAGGTGGTTGTGCAGCTGGTGGAGTGGCCGCATGGCCAGGTCCAGAGACGAGGGGCTGGATGTCATGTTGGTGTAACCGATGGCAGGTGGGTGCGGGGAGAGGTCAGGCAGCCTGGGAGGTCTTACCTGCCCACCCCTCAACTATTTAGCCAGGTGCCGCACACTCTTTACCTAGTCTTTTCACCGTGATTTGCCCACCCATCCCTCCCTGGCAGCTGGGTTGTTATGAGTTATGTATGCATGTTCATGAATGTCACAGCTTCAGGTAGTTTGAGCATGGACATGGATCCCATTGGTTAGGCAGATGGTGCCTGTGTTCCTGCATTCCACGGTTCTGGGACTCCCCTAAAGGGTCTCGGGGAAGGGCCAATTCAGCTGCATGCCCAGCTTGAGGGCTGCTGGCAGGGCTCTCAACACCAGGTGGCAAGGAAACCACGCAGCAGCTGGTGCCCACATGGCTCCCAGAGAGTTGCTGCTCCTTAGTAGCACCCAAGCAGATGGGCTGGGGGTGTGGGGCTTCATCAGGTGGTAGGCCAGCCACCTGATATGGGATCCATCCCTATACGGTGCCAATGCTTCTATAGTTGTAACCAATATAAGCCGTGGCCTCTTTATTCTCCATATCAGTGTGGTCTGTGTTAATACCTTGCCTGGGGACTCTCTATGCCCATGGGGCCCACAGATAACACTAACATTTTACTTGTTTTCATCTTAATATATGCAGGAAGAATACTGAACAGTCGAATTTCTGCCTTTATACTGTAAGTTCTGCAATAAAGTGGGGATGTCAAGGGTCCCCACACCTCTACCACCTGGAGAGATGTCCAGTGGGCCTGTAGCTGAAAGCTGGTGTTATACACAGGTAATGATCATATCTTCTGTATGTTTATGGATTCTGTTTTCTGTACTGGTGGTATATTTAACATCTTCATATTATTCCTATAGAACAGGAATCTTCCAGGTTTACCTCTCATTAGTAATGATAATGGCAGTCTTGGAAGGCGCAGTACAAGAAAGTTATGCTAAAGTAACCAGAAGGCGAAAAATGAACTGGGGATAACTTCAGAAAAAAGTAGAATTGCTTCAGATTGCTGTTGAAGTGAACAATTGATGGTAGTAGCAAGAACACTGTAGGACCGACGAGCCTCAGGGAGATTTTCAGCATTTGTTAATTGCTGATTTAGCTCACTTAGCCTTTTAGTATTAGTCAGCTGGTTGATACCTTCATCCACTCTCTGAGACCATCTAATTATTTGGACAACTAGTATATTTTCGCATAAAGTAGTGGGAGGAGGTGATGACTGAGAGAGGGATTCATACTCAAGGATAGTGATCAGAGGAAAGTGGTTACTATCAACATGCTGTCCTACATAGAAGCCCAAAATATGTATTTTCAAGTTAAAGAAAACAGTGACATAATCAATAACACTACTATCCCAAGTAGAACTAAATGTATATTTGCCAGTAGAATCTTGAGGTAGGAACCCACTTACAGTAGGTCTATTAGATGGAATACAGAAATTAACCAAAAAGACCCCTGCAGCATTAACTTGAGGGTTTTTGGAGCGTCTTATAGAAAGGAAGAGGGAATCATTTGGTTAAAAGCCCATGGCCTTTCATAACAGCTGGTCATCCTTCCCAATCCTAGCATTAAAATCTCCTGCAATCAAAAGTTCTGCTGAAGGGTATTTTAGCTTAAGGTCCACAACATACACATTTAAACAGTTTCCTTGCACTGAGAAATCAGCTCTATTGGTACTTGGGGGGTAAATATATATTAATTACAAGCAATCTTAAATAAGACAATTTGAGAAGAAATGCTTGGGCCGGAGGAGGGAAAGAAGACAGAATGATAAACTCAACTTTTAGCTTCATTGAGACCAAGCAACAAGCCTGCTGTATGACAGCCTGTATGCCCAGTTTTAGAAGCCAAAATTGAACAAGAAATACACCCTTTTAATTGTATTTCTCTTTGGACCCAAGTTTCTTAGAGTAGGATGTGTCAAAACATCTGAGAAAATCCAAAAACCATCCTTGGTAACCATCCAGCAATATTCCAGGATAGTATTTTAAGGATAGTATTTTAAGGTTGTATTTAGATAGACAATCTCAATTAACTTTTCCAACTTTTAAACCCCACTGCCATTCATGATATTTTTAGGTGGATATAACAAAGATGATTCTTTTGGAGGCAGAGCAGGTTGGTCTCCAGGTTTGATATGTACCAGGGCTACAGATTAATGTGTGCTTGATATTTCTTCCCCACAAATAGTTTTAAAACATGGGATTCAAAGCCACCAGAAGAAAACACATAAGTAGGCAACTTGGTAGCAAGGTCAGATGCACTGATTGGGCTGGCTTTAGCAGAGTGTTTGCTCTGTTTCAAGCATTTCTCCAGCAAGGTCTGATGAACATGCCCTCGAACAGCTTCTGTTTCAAACACTATTCTATGATCTTTTATTAATGTGTCTGTGTATTCTATATTGAGCTTAATCAGTTGTTCATCAGGGTCACATCTTTTGGACTTCTCTTGGCCAATCGGTACGAAGCTTTTTGGTGGTTGATTAAGCTGTTCTCTAGATCCAAAATAGGATTGTCATTACCATTACTTAGGGTGTCCTGTTTTGCTGTAGCTAGACCTTTGTCTGTCACCTTCTTTGGACGAAAACATTTAAAGTAAACTATGTAAAGAGTACTTAAGTTGATCCAAGGTGGCAAAAAAACTTCCTCATTCTGGGATGTACCACCAGGTGGATTTGCAAGGGGTGGCCTCATTTCAGCAGACTGATTGTCCACTTTGCTAGAGCCGGGCTTTAGGACCACCAAAGTATTGTTGGCCGAAAGGGGAACTGAGTTAGAGTTTATTAAATAACTTGAATCTGGTGAGATCGCAAGATCAGAAGTGAGGGGACTCTTAGCACAAAGATCAGGAAGCAAAGGTTTAGGAAATCCTTCACAAAACTCTGGAGGGGAAAAATAGTATCAAAGGGATTGTTGAACTTCCAAAAGTTTACATTATTCTCAGACCAGATTTAACATATGGAAGGTCTTCAGCACTGGTAAGATCAATACAACGAAATTCAGTTCTGAAGATCAACAAAGCTCTCACATTTGTATGCTAATTTGCTGCCATTCATTGATCTTGCTGCCTTGATCTAATCTCAGCTTCACTTATGCATCTTAACTCTGACTGGTCCTTCCTTCCACCCCCCACCCCCCATCTTCTTTTATGTAAAGCTTGAAGAAATTTTGTTTCAATGTGTCTGAAGTATTGTGCTTGCACACAGACTCTAACGCCTTAAATAAATGTTGGTTTTAAAGGTGCCACTGGACTCAAACTTTGTTTTGCTGCTTCAGACCAACGTGGCTACCCACCTGAATCTAGTTTTAATCAGAACTTTGTAAATAACCTTTAAGAAACATAGGCCTCTTTACAGCTGGAAATCTTCCCTTTTTCTTAGCTGCAGCCTCTGGGCTTTCAAGTTCTCAGCTAGGTTCTGATTTGAGTCCAGGTTTGGGGGTTCTTGGACCTAAATTGCAGTACATGGTCACTAAATTTTTAAAAAATGTTATTCATGAGCCACAGTCCCAGCAGTCCATGTTGCCCAAGTCATGTGTAGGTACAAGTGCAGACACCATCCTTTAATACAGGCAAGAATGAACTACTGCTCTGAAATGCAGGCCAACTATGTCTGCGTTACAAGACATTGTGTAAAATTGGTGTCTGAAACAAGAGGGAGATTCATTCAACTCCCCCATACCTATTAAAAATGTTCAGAGCCTTGAAATTCTCAGAACTCAATTTCCATTGTTCGAGGGACACTCCTTGTCCATTATGAACTAAACTAACACTGGTATTTCAATAAAAATCTATCATTGTTTGTGAGATCTTTATTTTTTGTATATAGATTTCTTGGTTTGTTAAACTAGTATTACCTGAAAGACATGCTGCTTTTTGCAGCTGTTTGGAAGTAACAAACGCTAGCACTGCACTGATGAACTGCCCTTAATGTACATAAAACTTGGTTTTTTACTATTTTCCTCCAACTTAAACTTCAGTATCTCTTTTCTATTTCTCCTTGCACAGTGTAAACCGTACAATTGATCTTACTTAGGATTTTATCAGTCACTAGCTGAATGTTAAGTTGGAATGAAGTAAATTTAGCAAATTGACATGATTGTCTGCATCTCTTATTCAGGTTAAAGTTGTAAAATTTTCTTATATGTGGACCATTAATAACTTCAGCTTCTGCAGAGAAGAAATGGGAGAAGTTTTAAAGAGCTCTACTTTTTCATCAGGGCCAAACGACAAAATGAAATGGTAAGGTGGTATTAATTTGACAGGGATTTTTTTCATTTGTTCTTTAAGTGTATAGTGTTAAGATTATATAAATAAATAATGAGGCAAGTCAGCTTTATGGCAGAATGTGTCTGCAACATCCAGAGTTTAAAAAACCCACTTTGCCTTGGAAGTTTTTACTGTAGCCTACCTTGCAAGGTAGTTATAATAAAATCCCTGGTTCTTGCCTCTGGATTTTTGTTACAGACGATTTTACAGGTATGGACTGGTTTGACTCTGCTGCTGCTATTCTTGTAGCTTTATATATTTCTGTCTGATATTCTGTTTGAATACCAAACCTACATAGAATTCCAATGTTACAGTTGTGTCAATCTTTGTTGCAATCTGGGGGCAGGCTGATAGTTTAAATGTGATAAAGCAGTTAATAAATAGTACTACTCCATGTCTGACATACTGAGTTCCTTGGGAAAAGATGGGATATGAATGCAATAAACTAAAAAGTTCTGTTTGGTTTCAACAAGTCCTTGAACAGGTTTAAATGAGCACTGTAGTTTTTAACGATTAGGTATTAGAGTTTCTTGTGTGTGGTCAAGAGGTTCTTTATAAATATTAGTAATCTGCTGCTAAAACATCCCCTTGTTTTATCCCTGGCTTTCACAACCTACCTGAATCTTTGGCATTCCTTTGGTAAGTCTTTGTCACATATGTCTGAAAAAGGAGGTTCCAAAGCCAGTGAGAGGTCACTCTTTGCATATGCCTACTAAATTTACCTGATAAATTTGCATGGTTGCTGTTAGATTATCCTAACCGCAGTGCTGCATTACACAAGCGGTAGTTGCCAAGACATGTGTGGTGCTGTTTTTTATGTGTGGGTAATGAAAAATTAAATGGCTGAGTCTTATTATGCTGCTTTTTTTCTAGGCATTTTAAAATTTATCTCTTCATACCAGTTAGTGATAAGCGTTTTTATATCCCGTTTTATTAAAGCAAAATGCACTTGGGTATGAAGATGAATAAAATGAAGATTTTATGCAGCACAGATGTATTTTTATGAACGAAGATATACATATACTTAAAATGTGCATTGAAACATGAAAAGTGCTGAGCTTGCATGCATTAGCACTTGAGTTTCTGGAATGTTTAAGTGTTATCAAGCCATGATGGCAGGTCAAAAGTTGTATGCAGCTAGGCAGAAGGAATATGATGATGAGAGAAAGGAGGGAGACATTGATAATGCAGTCTGAAGCCGAGTTATGTAAACCCACTGGACTTCAATAGACTTAAGAGGAACACACTGTACTTAGAAAGACTGCATCATAGACCTGGAAACTTGAAGATTTTTGTGGAAACCTTGAAGCACACTGCAAGCCACAAGGGTTAGAAACTTTTAGGGTGGTCTGCTCCCCCTAGCTACTTGAGATTATATGCCAGAGGCTTTGTTCTGTGTCTATAAGCATATGAGACTAGGAGTCTTGTGCATACCTATCTCTAGTAAGTTAGGGCTTTAAAAATCAACTGTGTATAATTGGTGATTCTTACATTCATTATAGGTGCCTGAGAGTAAACCCAAAAGGATTAGATGATGAAAGCAAAGATTACCTTTCATTGTATTTACTTCTAGTTAGCTGTCCAAAAAGTGAAGTGAGAGCAAAATTTAAATTTTCTCTCTTAAATGCAAAAAGAGAAGAAACAAAAGCAATGGGTAAGTACATTTCCAGATTTTCCAAGACTGAGATAACTTTCAGTTTGAGAAATAAATATAGGGACCATGACCTCAGGCAAGCCAAGCTGGTAAGGCGATCATTTAAACAGCATGTTTACACTTCTTCCAAAGCATCCCCTCCTCACGAATGCCAAATCAGACCTTTTGAAAGAGGCAACACGCCATGACCGGTTGTACATTCAAGTTTTTTATATAAAACCAAATTAGATGGCAGTACTCCACCAATCTTTGACTAGAATTTCTGGCTTTTTAAACTAATGAGCTTTGAAAATGGAAGAAGTGGTACTGGAGGCAGGGTCTTTTAAAACATTTTTTCCACATAACATTTCTTCAGTGTAAATTGCACCCCCACACACACATTGCAATTATGTTGGCAGCAACTTAAGGTGAGTGAGGCTTTACATCAGAAATCCAGTGTGGCATAATGGTTACAGAGTTGGACTAGGACCAGGAAGACCCGTTTGAAAATCCCTGCTTGCCATCATACCTTGGGCCAGTCACACCCCACTCCACCCCACCCCACCCTGGTAGTTTGGAGGCTAAAATGGAGGAGTGGGAAACTATATAAGCCATTCTGAAAGTCTTGGAGGAAGGGCAGGATAAAATGTGCTTAATAAATCAACTCCGCATGTCTTTTATGTAGGAGCACCCACTCCCAGAACCACTTCTTAAGATTCAGAGTAGCCCTTTGAGGCTAAATGGTAAAAAGAGAGGGATCCTAGTCACTTATCTTTCATGTTCCCTTGGTTGCACTGTGTTAAGTATTTTACTCAATTTCTTTTGCTGTCCAAGGTGCCCTTCAGTTTCAGCGGATCATGGTCACATCAAGCGAATGCCTTTCTTTTTGTATGCACATTTATTATCCAAAAGAGGCTTGCCCCATTTCTCTGACTATTGATAGGTTTCTTAATAATATTAGTAGTTGGCCAACAAATATCCATGCATATTGCTAGGAAATATATTTTACTGATAGATCTGTTCACCATTTAGAAAAAGACTATCTACTAGCCACTTTATCGCTTTCACTAAGTAGATGTTGTTGCAGATAAGGCATGGCTTGCCTGTTCTACCTATCTTGCAGCAACATATTACTAGTTTGTCACATTCTGATTTCAGTAATAGCACTTAAATTAAGGACTTCGTGAAGTTATTGTCTTTTGTTTGTGAAAATCCTGGGTGGATTAAATTTCAGCTGCACAGCTCTAGAAAGCTGTTTAGTAATAAAGGGCCCCTTCACAGATTGTTACTAATATTTATTTATTTATTATTTGTATTTATAGCCTGCCCATCCTGCAAGCGGGCTAAGGGCGGGTAGCATAATAAAATCAGTATAATAAATACGATTAAAATTATGAGCTGTGGATCCTGTGGAGGGCATGTGTAAGGGCAGATGTGGATGCAGTACTTGCCCACTTGCCCCTGTAGCCCCATATGTCCTCCAAAACACAGATGCTGGTGACTGCACGGCTCATGTCCGAGAAAGGCATGACGCCTAGAGTGCCGCACTGAAGTGGGGCAGCTGTAGTGGCTCTGTGCCAATGAGATTTCCATTGACATAAAAGGAAGGGGAAGGCGATTTCTTATCCACACTGCATTCCTTCAGTCTGCATGGTTTTTTGTCTACTTGAGAGCTGCTGGGGAAAGCAGTAGGGGAGAGCCACATAATCATGTGCGTGCTCCCTAGGATCCAGATCAGCGTATCTTCATGCATATGGTAATCTGTAATTTCTGTGTTCAGTTATACTTTTCATTTAGGTATATTTAGTTCTCTGCCTTATGCACATGTGGTAACAGATACTAATCTCCTGCTATTAATGGGTGAAATTGCTGTAGGTGTGCTTTGATTAATGGGCCTCGGTTCAAATTCCATTTGGTATAGACTCACTGATGAGAGTCAGGAAATTATTATGTAGCTTTTGGTACAGAAACTGGAGCTCAGCAACGGTCACTTACTGAAAAGCAACCTCTGTTGTTAATGGATAAATAGTGCAGTCCTCTGCGCAGTTATTCTAGTCTAAGTTTGTTGAAATCAATCGGCTTAGACTGGAGTGACTCTCCATAGGAGTGCATCATAAGGATTGTAAAGCATTCAGCACACTCTAAAGTGCTGTCTAAAATGTATCTAGGGAGCTAGTTACAAAAAATAAAAATTGAGTTCTGTTCCATGGAAATGCTGTGCTGGATCCGACCCCTTCCCCCACAACTGCCTGAAATGCCTCTAAATCCTGTTGGGGGGGGGGGGGGGGGGGGGAGAGAAAACCACACTGGAAGTCCTTGTATCTAGGGAAGTGCTGTATCAAATTCAACCCATTACCTGGGGGAATTCGGTATTTGAATTTCATTTAGTTTTAGTGGTCCAAGTTGCAGTAACATTGCATTAAGAAAAAACCTTTTCTCTTTAATGTTACTCTTAACTGTTAAGGATATAGAGAAAGGTTATGGTTTCAGTTAACTAAATATATTTATTTGTTTCACAATTTTGATTTGTGAATTGCTCTATCCCTGAATACTCAGTTACTCTGTGCAATGAACAACAAAACTAAAATACATCAGAATAAATACAATATAAATTCGTTCAATGGTTAAATAAAACAAATTCTCAACTATATCACCACTTCCCTATAAACAATGGAACAGAACTGAGAAGGGAAGGAGGGGGGTGGATGGGAGAAGGAGAGGGAGTTCCAGGCAAGATGTTACCTGTCACTGCCCTCAACCAAAGGCCTGGTGGGGATTATCCCTGCTTTACAGGCCCTGTGGAACGGCATCAGATCCCATGGGGCATAGATGTTGTTCGGCAGAGAGTTCCACCAGGGGCCAGGGCTGAAAAGGCCCCAGCCCTGGTCAAGGACAGCCAGATGTCTTTTGGGCCGGGGACCACCAGTAAGTTGTTCTAGTCGGAGTGTAATGCTCTTTCAGGGACATATCAGAGGTAGTCCTGAAGGTACGTAGGTCCTAGACTGCTCAGGGCCTTAGAGGTCAGGACCAAAACCGTGAACCTGATCTGGTACGCCACTGAAAGTTCAGCTGACGCAGCACAGGTCAAATATGTGCTATCCGTGGCATTCCCATCAGGACTTGTGCCTCTGCATTCTGGATCAGTTGGAGGTTCCGGAACAGGCTAGCATAAAGTGAGTTACAGTAGTCCAATCTGGAGGTAACTGTTGCGTGGATTACTGTGGCCAGGTTGGGGTGAGATAGGTGTGTCCAGAATCCAGAAATCCATGACTAGCCCCATGGGATTTTACATGCATGCCAAGGCTTGTCCAGGTTCCTTTTATGACTGCAGTTCTTCATGCTGGGTCAAAAGCATCCCTCCTAAGGTTTCCCAGACTTCTGGAGTAGCTGCTTCAGCAGTGGAATCTGCAGTCAGAAGAGAGGGGCTTCATACCCCTGCTGGAAGTACTGAATACCATTTTGGGATCGTGGACACTTGCTGAATGGGAGTATACTATGCAAATCTTTCCAGCTTGATTTTTTAAAATACCGCTTGCCTCAGTACCAATGTTATGGAGTTTTTTTGTGCTGCCTTGGTGAAACCAAATTACCAATACATATTGTATTCATTGATAGGATTTAATGTTGTATTAGTTTGCAATGAATCAAGTAAGTTAGGTCTTGAATAAGCCTTTGAAGTAAATTATACTTAAATGTGCACATCTTTTATAGTAATACATTGACTTAAGCTAGCTTTGATTTTACTTAGATTTCACTGACCTCATATGTAAAGATTTTAAAGTGAAGACTGTTTAACTGAACATGCTTATTCTTTTTTATTTATTTACTACTAGAAAGCCAAAGAGCATATCGATTTGTTCAAGGCAAGGATTGGGGTTTTAAAAAATTCATTCGGAGAGATTTTTTACTTGATGAAGCAAATGGTCTTTTACCAGATGATAAGCTTACATTATTTTGTGAGGTAGGTAATCAATACTAATTTTTAAACAGAGTATTTCCATGGCTATGGATGAGGAAGGTTGTGTGTTTGTGTGTGTGTATGTGTGTTAAATGTTACATTTATTCTCTCTTTGTTGAAGAAGTGTCCTGACAATTGTTTTTTAAGAACTTAACGTGAGGGTGTTTGTATCTGTTGTACATTGTTCATGAAGAGGCTTAGGTTGAAGTGAACCAGAGTTGGAGACTTTTTGTAGTCTCGTTGAATGGGGAGGAACAGAAGAAGTTAACACTTTTTAAAACTTTAGTAACATGATACGGATTTCCAGTGCCTTGACACTTACATGGATGTGTCGTTCTTTCAGAGGATGTCAGTTGCTTGGGTAATTCTTGTGGTCCACGTCTTGCTTCAGGCCGTAATGAGTCCTACCCTAAGGCTTATGCTAGTGGGATTTCTCCTCCCTGCCAAACAAAGTGACTTTAACACTTAGTTGGATTTAATAATTGTGGCTGGCTGCCTAGTTATTTCATGTGATACAGCTAGATCAGTGTTGAGGTTTAGTTAACCTGATTCCACATCAAGAGATCATAAGTCTGTTTTTTTTTGTTTAAATGTCTTTGATTTCTGGATAATTTTATAAATATATAAGGAGCTGTATTGGATTGCTGCAGGTTGCTTATTAAGTCCAGTGCTTAACTGTCCAGAGCTCTTCAGGGTCTTCAACAAAGAAACTGAGGATTGAATTTAGTGCACCTAATAAATGCAAAGCACATGATCTGTCACCTGTATAATTTGTCCACTGGAATCCAAGTCCTAGCACCAGTTTTGAATAGCCCTAAAATTTGGAGTAACTCTGCTGGGGTAAATTCCAAATAGAAATGTAGGCTTATACAAAATCAGTGCTTCAGCTAGCTCTTGGACTCATGCCCCATAGTTCTCCTTCAGTGGGGAAAGTAATCCAAGCTACTTAGGTCATGCCTCCTCTTGCTCCAGACAGAGCTATGCAAATCTTTGTGCAACTGACCTGGGGTGGAGTGAGACCACCTCTCCAGTTTGGATAGCTGTGCAGTTCCAAGCAGGATGCATCAGCCTAGGTTCCACACCTTTAAAAAATAGTGATTCTGTGAAGTAATTTAGTGAAATTCAAAAAAAGAACGGAAGAAGAAAAGACCTCCAGGAAGGCTCCCTTGACCGGGGGGGGGGGGTCTAAGAAGAGGAAGAAGGTAGCGTCAAAAGAAAAGCCCCTCCAACCTGGAGCTCCGGGCACAGGAGAAGAGCCAGAAAGGAGCCCAGCACCAGCATCTGCTGCCGAGGACACAGCAGGACAATCTGAAGCTTCAAATTGTGCCCTTGCTGACTCGCCACTGCTGGACACTGTACAGAGGCAGATCACAGTGGCCCACGTGAAGCAGGCCACAGCAGG